TTTAGCACTCGCACTCGAACGCATCAGGCGAGGTTTCGGGGAGAGACACTTGCACAGTTCGAAGCACTCTACTCTTCACGAGCACCGAAAGCCTGATTGCTCTCAGATACATCGTCCTCAGCACAATTCTCTGAGGTGGCAAATCCTTCAGCACATGGCTACCACGACTTACTGCTGCTGCTACTTCTACTACTGCTACCCTGGTGCTACTACTTCTTTTACTTTTTAGAGCGATAGCAATACTAGTACTCATACGAATGTTAAACACTAGTAAACTAGTAGTACTGGCAGTTACTGGCACGACCAGGAAGTATCCCTCACACTAGCGGCAGCCGGCATGGATGCCCCCAAACACGCAGGGGAGATAGTAGCACAAATCAACAGTGACATTTCCGCCCAAGCCGCAATGGCCACTCGGGCTGGTGGAGCCAATGTGGCAGTGACATCCGGGAATTCCTGCTCGTCCACCTGAACGTCTGGATCACTTCGGCATTGTTGTCCAGAAAAAAAACGAGTTGCGTTGTTCGGAGCCTTGGGTGGCCTTTAGGACTGTAGGAGCCTCCACAAGGTGAGAGCGCGTGAAGATCATCGTTTGCCTGTTCACAACTGCACACCTGTCCACCTCAGGGACAACTGCAGGATCACGCTCCGGCCACGAGCCAGGTTCGATGTATCTTCGCTCCTCAAGCTTTCAAAACGTCGCTTTTCGAGCTTGGGCAAGGCCAAGAGTGCGTCAGGACTGTTGCCAAGGCTCTGATGCGATGGTGCCACAGCTCGTGACCACCTTCAACGACGATCGGTGGGTGCTCTCTCCGGGTGTGAAGCATCCTGGCCTTCGGAGCTTGCGCGGCCCAGTCTTGCTGCAGAATCCAAGAATGGGAAGCATCGGGCGCAGCGAGTCCTGATGGCGTCAGATTCAGCTCCACAGACTTCTCTTATCAGGACACCAAATGCGACGGAAGCTCCTTGAGGCTCGTCGGTATCCGTGGGTGGCACTGCCACCGCAGCTTTTACGCGCTTCGGCATGTAAAGTGCCAGGGCCTGCTGCGCTACGAAACACTAGCGCATCCGTCCGCACATCCCTGCATACCGAACACAATCAAAGCCCTTCTTCATCAGAGACCCCACAATCCGACGAAACTCTGCGATTCTTGGAAGAGTAACAAAGAGCAAGCATGCCCAGGGAATGCCCGGGACGGAATTTGTCTTCCTCGGCCCTTGAAGCACAACGAGGAAGCATCTACAAGGTGAGGGAGTTGCAGGTGGAAGCATTAGCACGGTGACGTCATGCAATCACTTGCCCCATCTCTGCACACCTTACCATGCACCTAAGTTGAACAGTCATGCACAGTTTCTCCGTCGGCCTCAGGCCAGCATGTGTAGATACCTCGGTACGCTGCCAGTGGTTCAAAAGGTGGCGGCGAATACACAAACAAGTAACGTCTGTCAAGGTTGCATGCAGCCCCTGACAACTGTTTCGTGACATGCCCTGAGTTGCAGGCGTCCGGGCTCGGCGACGCCTTAGCGGCAACCGATTGAAATAGCTACAATACGGTTAATCAGAGGCTTCCTCAACGACTCTGCGATGGTTAATACTAGAAATCTTGGAAAACAAACGAAACCCGATATCAAGTCCGGAGCGGTGTGCCCTACAAGCCGTGTCTCATGCTCCGCCGCTGACAAAAGCGCCATCAATCCAGCACCGATTTCTTTTAGAATGCCGGGAGGCCACCAAGCACGGCTCCCCTCAGCGGCGGTGCATCGGGAATCTCCGGGGCAGACGGAATCGTTGCCTGGCGACATGCTTGAAACTGACACCACAGTACACGTCGTACTGGTCTACAAACCTTTGTGACACCGGCCAGGACTGTGGCGAACATCTCAGGCCTCGCCCATTGGAATCTCACCCTCCTTTGCCCGGATCCTGCCACAAGACATGGGCATCGAAACTGCAGAGCTTTTCTGCTCTATGCTCTGAGTCGGCGCATCAGGCCGGCCTCGCGAGAACTCGCAGCTGCCACGGCCAAGACTCCTCGCAGGGAGGGAGGCGTAATGGCACGGTCTCGGAAGGCCGAGCTTCATCAACCAAGCAAAGCATCCTAACCCACAGGAGAGTTGCGGGAGAAACGGTCAGGACGGTTCCACAAGAAATGGCTCGTAACAAGCCCTACCCTCAATCCTGAGGATCATTGTTCTGCAAAACGACGAAGAGTTGCTGTCGCGACTCTGCGCCGCAAAGTGTGAGGGAAGCGACGGCCTCGTCTTTGGCGGTTTTGTACAAGGGGCTTGTGCGAGCAGTGCTCTGTGTAGTTATTAGGCAAGCACGAAGGTCGAAGCTGCGTCGAAGATTTGTGGCTCTGCAGAAGGGTTTTCTGCACTCTCAGGTGCTACTGCTGCTGTATGTGGAGGTGCCGATAAGATTCCGATGTCACGGGGAAGACCGCAGGAACAGCGCTGTGGTTAGGTGAGGCTCTAGTGCGAGCCTGTCCGCACAGTGTCTGGGTCCCACACATAGGAGCCGACCGTTGCCTTCTCACTCTTCAACTCCTTGCGAAGCACCTTGAAATGATGGACACTGATCTCAGGTGGACTCAGCGGCCATGTTCGAAAGCGCGGACTTGCATAGACTATGCCAAGACACTAAGAAACACTTCCTGAATCTTCCTTAAACCCCATCCCATCCTTCCCCCTGAAGACCGGGCCTTCGGCCTCATTGTCACTCCAGGTTCTAATTCGCTTCTGCGACGGTACCAGACAGACTCGGAAGCCTAGGTGCTCCCTCCGCCAGGCGCTCTGGAGCCCCTTTGTCCTTGCGGCTGGATTCCTCCTGGATGTGGACAGCTGCTATAGCAACAACAACTTATGACACTCTCGCGGCACGTCGACTTTCCGTTGAGACTGTCTGTCTCAGAGCTGGAATTGCATCCCTCGGGCGGCCTGACGAACAAAAGCGGTGATGGCCACTTTGGGCCGCTGCACGTCCTGGACAGGAGTTCGGGAACCGCTTGCAGTTGCAGTCTTGGAGGCGCGAGGGAGGCGTGAGTCAAGGCAGCCTACAGAGCACCAGCCGACCAGTCTGCGATGGCGTGTGTCTGCTGGTCTGTCTCTGTTTCATCGTGTAGGGTCGCGTCTACAGTTATGCATGATTTTGGGTGACACTGCTGCGGCCGTGGATTCGCTTGAAGTCGTGCAGCGGTTGACCGCGCATCTTCTTGTGGCTGACGCAGCTTGAAGACAGGTTGAAGCCGTTACATCCGTTACCGCAGCTCGGTTGACATCGCGCAGAAAGACTGACGCCTCGTGCAAAGATAGAGGCCCGGATCACCAACCCTGATTGCTGTAGGCCTTGGACTTCTTCGGAACGGCCACTGTGGGAATACCTTGATTTGTGAGCACCCACACCAGTCTCGAAGCTGAAGTTCCAAGAGGATCCGCCAAGCTGATGCCAAGCTGCAGAGAAACAGGTCCAGTTGCAGCTCCTCGCCACGCCCAGGGCTCCTGGGAACCTCTAAGACGACCTGGGATAAGAGAAGGCCACTTCCGTCTGTGGATCGCTTGATGTTATTTCTGAGCGCAGCATTCCGAACCAGTTTGCACAAGGGACTCGACTGCTGCCCTTACTCTGCCCAGCTCGAACCACAACACAGTACTCACAACTGCATCGGAAAGGTTTCAGGACATTCGCAGATAGTGCCGAAAATGTCACGGAAAGCCGTCAACGTGAAAGTGGTTTCATGGCTGGGGGACACCAGTTCCGATCTATCATGATCTATCTTTTGGGGCCGCCATGGACTGCCCATTCACAACGCATCTTATGAAGTGATACGACGTGATACGACCTTGTGAGACAGAGAGAGAGCGAGAGAGTCAAAAGAGTCCACGTGCACAATCGGTCCAACCTGAACACTAAGAAGATGCCTGTGGATTGCGCAGGCTTCCAAAGCCGCTCGAAAATCCTGCCACATGCAATTTTCAAAAATGTGGCACTGCGTGTGGCATTGTCAGTCTAAGTGCAACGCACTTCTGCATGTAGCTGGGTTTGGAATGCCCATTGCCTACAGGCAGTACAGTAGTTACTCTATACTCTGCCAGCCCTGCCATCAACTTTCTCGGTCATCATTGTCGCGCGGGTCCGTAATTGTCTCATACAGCACATCCTTACGTAGAACTTGAGCAGCTTTCTGCAAGGACTCCGGGGGATTACCAGATGCCTTGCGTCCAAAGGCCAGAAAAAAGCGCGGAAGCTTGCCAGAAGCCCTGCGTCTCTCCTTGCAGCACTGGGACTCAAAGCCAAAATGTCACAGCTTGTCCGCAACGTAATAGCGGTGGGCTGCTGTCATCACTTCTACATTCTACGTGCTTCTGCTAGCATTCCGGCGTGTCCAAGCACCATGTTGCAGCAGGGCCACGTGGCGGACCACACAAACCAAGCCGTGAGCTGGCTGGGCTTGGCCTCGCACGTCTTCAGAACTTGGTCCTTTCTCAACCTTTGCGAGAGAACCCGAAGTCTTAAACTGCATCTGAGTTGCTGCGTCGGGACCGATGCAGTCAAGGGACCAGATGAGTAGACCTCGGCCCCATCTTCCTGCTAATTCCGTCGGAGTCCGTCCCTTGGTGCCGGGCCAGAAGTTGTGGTGCTGATCGTCCCGTAAGCCGTCCAGGATCAATTGACTCCTGTCACTGTCCAATCGATGCAGATGTCCCGCAAATTGGACACAGTATGTGGCATAGCATTGCGCGAAATTCTGTTGCTGCATGGCTGATACATACATTCACAGTCAAGTTTGGGCCACGGGCAGATGATGAATGAACTAGCGGTCACTAGCGATTGCACAAATCTGACCAGCCAATCTCCTGCCACAAACAGCTCACCCGCAATGTTTGCCCAGGTGGCAGCGACGGTATGTGCAGGCGAACAGCACCTTGAAACTGTGGAAACAAGGGACGGGGCCGGAGTGGATCGATCCCACCTGCAACCCGCAACGGAGCATCTGACAGTATGAGCAAAACAGCCCTTGAAGAGTTGAAGCCTGCAACTGTTCACAAAACCCAGTTTTGCAGTCCCTGCGGCCTGTCCGCTCGTTCCGCACCCTGCGGTGCTCAATTGGTGGCCAGATGTCCACGCAAGGCTCCGCACCAAGCAGGGAGGCCCTTGTGAGGCTGAAGGTATTGTGGAAAGCACATGTCTGAAAAACACACACCCTTCATAAATGTGGAACTGGCAGTTTGGCATCAGCAGCCTTGCACCATGTGCCAACATATCGAGTTCAACACAGGCTTGCGGACAAGCCACTGGTCCTCCTCGGGTCCCGTCACGCAGATCAGCACCTGAGGCGACGAGTGCTGCGGGCTCTGGGACCTGAGGGTTCCGCCCTGCCCTGGAAACCTGAGGTGAACATGCAGGCATCTCGTCACGCCTCCATAGATCCCTCCGTCCCGGCACAAAGCCAAATGGGAAGCGACTGCCTGGGCGGCTGAAGCTTGGCTGTGCAACAGTCGGTCTTCAAGCTCCACTTGCTGCGCGGCCTACGCACCTGATAGCAAAAAAAGGCTCCGAGAAAATTCGAGACGAAGATGCATAAGCAAGTCCCACTCAATGCGAAGCCGTTGATACCACGGATCTGCCTGCAAAGCATCATGGCAATACCAAGTATCGCGCTGAGAGGTAGAGACTGCAGTGTTTCCGCAGGTCCCTGTTTTCCCTGGTCCACCCTCCGCGATCGGAGCGGCGAACACAGACTTTGCCTTCTGGCGCCGTGATGCCAGAAATGTGCAGGACCGAGTCATGCAGCGTTGCATACACCGTCACTATATGCGCAGCAACTATGCAGCGAGGCCTCGTAGACAGCGAGCTCCGTCGCTTCGGCCCAGGCAGAGATGCAGGCGAAGCGGCTGCCTCCGCAAGGAACCACCAAGTAGTGCACGTAGCGCACAATATGTGTGTCAGAGAGAATGATAGAAGTAGAAGTGTCGCTGCGAGCACGCAGGCTATCACAATGCTGGAACTGCATGGATATATGGATCCCATCTCGAACAGTATGTTGCGAGTTTCACGTTCCGCGCGTCAGCGCTTCAACAGCATAACTCCTAACACCACGCAGGCCCTTCCCGATCAAGCTAGAATGATCTAATACAGTAGCACGCGGCCTAGCTCCCAGGCGGACTCCTGCATGAGGTTCGAGTCCACGCATCCGCAAGATTGGCTGCGACAGCCAAATTTTGCTCGCTGAACTCCTTGCCTAAGCTGCCCGGATTGGTGAGACAGGGATAGCCATGGGCTGATTCAGAAGTGTGTTCTTTCCCTGCGTGCACCATACATTTAAGTTGTGGGACAACAAATGTAAGGGATGTCTTGTAAAGCACTGCATGTATGACCTCGGCAACATCAGATTAGGCACGGGAGTTGTCCATGACGAACCTTTTGTTTCCACCAATCGAGAGAGCATCCATAGGGGAGCAAAGGAAGTGCATGGACTTGGCTTTGGACTTCGTTCGGACTGAATGCCACCGGGCGACTGATCAAGAACAACATGCGAGCTGAAGGGGATGAGGGTGTAAAGACCTGTGAGGTGGATCTGAACCAGTTCTGCTGTCTGGCATGGTCTCTTTGTAAAACTGTCCACTTCATGGCATCGAAGTACGTAAGGCAAGTCTGACGCACTGCGCTGGCCTCGTGGTAGCGCTACCGAGACGAAATGCTCCTTGCGGATACGTGGGGAATGCAACTATTTGTAGGGTTGGCTCCCGGAGTTGGCTCTGCCCGGCCAAATCGTCAAACGAAGTCCTCGCCTTGCAGCCCGGCGAAGATGCAGACACGTGCCTGACGACATATCAGAGAGCCTTTTCCTGGAGCTTCCTTCGCCTGGTTGTGGGCACGGGATCAAGGATAGAATCCTTGCAGCAATGCACCAGCCCAAAAATATACGTTATCGAGATTATAACCCATGCCCATCCACGGCTTCTGCATAGTCAGGGTGCACCGGTGGTCGCAGATCGAGCTGGTGACTCCTCAGATTCACTTCACTGGTTCAACTTCAACTTGTCTCTGATACGTCTATCCACATGTTGTGACCGTTTCGTAACGAACCGGTCGACTCCAAACATGCTGACCGGCCAAAGCACACACGAAACACTGCTACGCGCCTCTTTCTGGCCTCGCTTGCCGCAGCTGGCAGCTCACAAATCCAGAGGCCAAGTGTTCCAGGGGCCGATTCCTGAGAACATCCGACGATGCATCGACAGCAAACCAAGGTGCTTCATGGAATCGGCACATGCCGGCCGAAAAGTGTGCGACCTGTTCTGGGGCCAAGAAACGTCGACAGCGTAGCACGGCATACGGCACCGGGTCACCGGGAAGAGCGAAAGCGACCTGAACTGTTCCTAGGTCCTAGGTCCCAGTTTTTGACATCAGAAGCAAGCAGTGCCCAGATTCGCCCAATTTCCGGTGCCACGAACAAGAGACTACTTGCTGAGAATAGCATTGGCCCGAACTTTTTCAGTCTGCCGCGAATGTTGCCTGCGGTCACGCACCTAACTTCAGACGTATCAACCACGTTAGCCGTTAACCTGGCAAGGCCGTGCCTGCCATGCCGCTAGGAAGACCGAGGGACACGAAAAGCTCCATCCGCTCGTCGCTGACCTCGATCCGGAGCTGGGGCCGCTCCTGGAACCTCGGCCGCATCGTCGGGAAGCCCTTGCAAGGTCGTCGGCAGTTGCTCGTGCTGAAGTCACACCCAGCATCCCAGTTCAACTCTTCAACGCCCAAACCCATGCTGTGGGAGCTGCAGCGCTGCATTTGGTGACTCGGGGAGGTGTGACAGTCCTTGGCTGAAACTGAAACTTCGCTTGGCTGAGCCCGGGCCCGGACCCATCCGGAGGGCCCCTTCAACGTCGGTCGCCAGGGGGCGGAAGAGCTGAGCCAGACCGTGCAGGCGCTGGCAGCGCAGCGCAGGCTGAGGGGATGCAGCCTGGAAGGCGGAATCCTCCACAAACCCCCGAAACTTCCCCGAAACCCTCAAGCAACAGAACCTCTCGCGCCTCGGCGCGGTCTGCAAAGAAGGCACCCGAACCTGCTGTGGATGACATGGAGAAAGCGCGGCTGCGCCAGGTGCCGCGGAAGGTCCTGTCCGAACACGGCAGGGACGGGTAGAAACGAACCGTGTCATGGGGTCCGACACCCATCCTGGCCATGCCCCAAGTGTCCTCTGCATGCAAAGGTTTTCCTCGACTTCCCAGTGCCAATCGCTAGGCGAAGTGTCATCTTCACCCGCTTCTACCTCAAACAGTTGTTCCGTCAATGCAGACCTTGCTTGAACCGCAATCACCCGCACCATTCCGGTGGTTGTGTGTTGCATCAGCCACCATCCATCTAACTCATGCTTGTGCAATGCATGCACGCAAGGGTTTGTTATCTGTGTTGGTTTGTATTGCATGTCCAAATTCCGATCGATGGCCCATCACCGCTCCGACACTCATGGAGCAGAAAGCAAACTACCGCACAACTTCTTGCTGCAACCACGGTGTGGAAGCTAGAGCAGCACCAAAAAGCGTACGCAGGGCAATTGGGTCCACATCCAACCGTGTTCTCATGTGCGATCGCTCGCTGATATACGTCATTAAATGCACCTTCATTCGGGCAAGAGACCGAAGCATCAGATGCACTCTCAGGCCTCTAAATTCCGAGGCTGTCTTTGCTTTATGCCATCATCATCATCATCATCATGGTGGTGGGGCACTGCAGCTGCCAGCGGAATCGCAGCTCGAACAGCACCGAGGCCACCGGCTCCGGCACGCAGGGCGCTCTGCAGCAAGGCCTCTGGCTCAAGCTCGCTAAAACATGTGGAGAAACACCGCAGCTTACAGCGAGAGCTGCAGGGAGTCGACAAAGGCCGAGCATCTCTGGATGGACTTGAGCATGCGCGGTGTTCGAAGGGGTTTGACACATCGAACTATCTCAACTCGTAGGGCCTTTTGCAAACCAGACAACTCATGAACATCCATGAACCTGAGTCCTGCGTATCATTGCGCATCCTTCGAACTCTGTAGAATCTCAACATATCTCAACACTCAAGCCGAGTTGCCGAGGCCGTGCTGAAGACCCAAGGCCTGGCTGCAGAGCCGTGAGCTGAGAAAGCGTTGTGACGTCAGCAGAAGACGTCTTGTGCGGAGTCAGCGGAATACTGCTTAGTGGCTGGCTTCGTTATGGCTGGCCTATGCTGGCCGCCTTTGGCAGTAGCCTGAAAATCTGGCCTACAGGTCTGAAAGCTCTCGTGCCACATCTCACCCAAGCCCCAGACCGGCACAGCGAGGTGATGGCAGCACTGTGGGAGCACAGCGCCAGCAGTGCGGCTGCACCGCTCGAAAAAACGCTCCCCTGACAGACTCCAAAAGCAGAAGATTTGTCCGCATGTAGACGCTATTTCGGCTCATCTAGCAGAGCGACAGCAAGGGTTTGTGCTTGGATACACGGGGTTCCAAACAGAGAGGTCACTCTGTAGATGCACTGCTGCATACTGCTGCCCATGCTTGCCGCAACGTCAAGACTCGATGCTTGTCTGCTTCGATTTTCCATCATGTTCCCCACATGAACACATCGACGAGCAACTTGCCCCGCCTTCGCTTTGCAGCCTAGCTTTAACTTTGGCTTGTAAATCTCTATACAACCCTCCTCTACCTGCATCGCCGGTGACAAGTCCAGAAACTTCCGCAATGGAAGCCGGCGCTAGACAACAACATGCTAACAACTCGCAATTAGTGTTTCGGTAGTTGGAAACATGGTTTTCTGCGAGTTGCTGGTAGCACGCGTGATGACGTGTGCAAAAATTCAGTGCTCTACAGGTGCTGCAAATAGCTGCGGCTTAGGTATGTTTCATATGTCGACCCTCCCTGCCACCTTTTCAAACCGGGGGCGAACTATGTTTGGCAGCAGAATCACGACAACGAGATCAACACAGCGATGTGGGCTTGGGCTTCTCTCTGCTTTGAGAAGATCGCTTGTTGCATGGGCGCTTTGCGGCAACGCAAAGGCTATCCTTATCGGAGCCTGTGGCGGCTCCAAGGGGGCCAGACTCAGCAGCCGCGGGACCATCTGGTCCAGGTCCAGCTCGCACTTCTTCCTGAAACACATTCTGCATCGTTGTGGCTGCTTATATAAGCTCCAAGATCTACCGTTTGCAGCGAAGGCTTCGGAAGTTTTTGTCGTATATAACGAGTACATTTTACACACGCAAGGAGCTCCGGCTCGCAGTTTCTCGGCCTCGCAGAGAGTGCAAGTGAGGCTGCCAGTGCCACGAAGGCTGCGGGCGCCGAGGCAGCGAGCGGGGCCAGCAAAGAAGACAGCAAGGCTGCGAATGCCTGTTATCCAGTCATCGAGCCACTTGCAAGAACCCATACTTGGCTGTGGCTCACACCGCGACACAGACGCCTTGTGGAGAAGAGGCAGCGTCTCCCAGGAAACATCTCTAGGTCTCTAGGAAACTTGGCAAACATGTCTGGGTGTCCTTGCATGATGGCTTCTATCCCAGCATCGCTAAATCAACAGAGCTGAGCATGGAAGCATTCATAAACATTCTGCACAAGGTAGACAGCCATTCAGATGGAAAGCCTAGCAGGAGGCAGACAGCGAAACAGGCGGAGGCACAGAGGAACTAACAGACGTGGTAAAACACGAGCAGAAACACAAGAGACACGAGAGAGCGACGCTCTTCTGACGGCACAACCTCGACTGGAAGGAACGGCGAAAGGCTTGCGGCCGCAGCTGCCAGCGCCTCCGTGCGGCAGTGGCAGCGACAAGGTCACCGCCGCAATTCCGTGAATGCGTCTCTGTGTCATACTGTCATACTCTTGCCGGAGCCCATCCGACCGCCTGAAGCGGGGTGCTCAGAGAGTCGCCGCGATCGAAGCGCACGGACATCTGCTCCTGTCCCGATTTTCGACCGTCTGGCAGTCTGACATCTTTCAGTTTGGAACAGGGGCTCGCTTGAAATTGACTGGAAAACAAGTGACACCTTGCGAGTCCGAGATGCTTGCGATTGCCTACACTATCTGAACTTAAAGGGTTTCCCAGCGGAACCGTCGCGAATCCGGTGAAATCTCAACATCAGATCTTCGATTGTATTCCCCCGCTCCGCCAATGCTGGCGACAAGGCAGCGGCTGCAGCGCGGCGCTCCGGTGGATCTCGGCCCAGTCGCCTCTGCAGGTCAGCTGTTCGTAAAGCATGGGTAGCACTTGGGCCGAACTCTGGACACCTAGGTCCTAGGTGGACGCTACACTCTTCGCAACAACTGCGTCGACATCGCAGCACCAGCAGCACTAAGCCAGGTCTATTGGAAGTCCTGCACAGCATGGAATGTCTTATTTGCAGCATGCGGCCAGAGATGCGTGCACGAGAAACCAGCCAACTGGACAGGCTGCTTCTTGGTGGTTTGGAAAGCCGACGATAGCAACTCCAGCACGCAGCCGTACTTCCGAAATGCACTATTCAGCATGTTATCAAACCTTCACTTCACACCATCACATCCTCGCTGTCCTTGGCCTCGCCGCAACGACGGCGGACTGCTTCAAGTTCGTTCAAGCTCAGTAAATACTAAAAATCGACATGTAGTGGCACGATATGATCGGGATGCTTGCCTATACCGTGCTCGGACCGTTTCGAAGGCCGGTGTTTGTCGCGTGTTGTGTTTGCCGCCTGTTGAAGGCTTAAGTCAAACAAAAGGCTCATGTAAGCTCTCGGATTCTGTGACTAGCCCCCTTAGACTACTTAGAACATGTACTTATTGTTTACATCCATGTTCCAACTGCCCGAGTGCAGCCGAAGACACGTCGCAAGCGCCGCGAACATCACAAGCTGACGATCTGATGCCGGATGCCTGCTGGGATCTGCTGGAAGCAGCCAGGACGTGACATCCTATCATCGTGCCTTCGCGGCTATACCGCTCCTGTGTGTTGGGATCACCAGCCAGAAAATGTAACAGAATCTCTCGACAGCGGGCAACGGTTAAAAAGGCATCGAATCGCGTTGTTCAAGGTTCAGCATAATCGAAGCTAAACTGCCTGCCATCTGTATTCCTTTCCACACGACGAGCTACGGTTTAACAAGCTTGCCTCATCGCCACCGCAAGTAACTCGAAGATGCATTGCGATGCCAGGAATCGGCGAACGGGTGCAAAGCCCTCGGTGCAGAGAACACTGGACAGCGAGAGACTGCATTTCCGCTGCGCTTGCGCTAAAGACTGGAATCAGAGTGTGGGGCCGCCAGCACGAGGAGCACCAAGGTTGAGATCTCTGCACTGGTCAGCACCTGCGAAGGGAAAGAAGCGCTGTCAGATGATTCAAGATTTCGCCGAATCAATCACAAAGCCTACTCAGTCCAGACGTGCGCTTTTGTAATTAAGCGGGCCTCCCTCTCTCACGCAGAATCAGCCGCGGTTGGGTCCAGCACTTGACACCGGACCAACACTGCATGCAGAATGTAAGCCACAGGTCACGCAACTAAAGGCAGTTGAGTCGATCGATCCGTTCATGAACTCAAGCGTCAAAAGGGGGTCATCACCACCGTTTTTCCATTCAAAAGAACAAGCCAGCCTCAGTTTGGCCTAATTATCAGAGGCATAGTTCCGGGTAGCTTATAGTATCTTCTGCACATGAACATCCAGTGTACGAGCTGCAACCAGGCATTCGTGGCCCAACTGTTAGGCTGCCTCGTCCCCGGAGCCTGCATCAACGTGTCCTCTCAGATCTCGCACAAAGGCACAGAGTGGCTGCTAAGTTTACCAGGTGCTCTCGCAGTCCTGGTGCCAAAGCCGAGCAATCTGCTAGCAGCGCCAAAAGGGAGTGAATACCTGGCTTTCAGGTTCAAGCCCCCTTTAACACCGGCTTGTCCGTTCATTTGTGTGTCTCGTCCCCAGGAACCTCCCAGTCGTAGCAGCCGAATGACATTGAAGGGGTGCCTGCAGCGATCGTGGGGAGCTGCTGCTCGACATGATTTGGGCAAACACACGTCAAGCACGAGTTGCAACAAGCAGCTGAATCAATGTGCATGGACATGATCGTGGCTTGGACCCAGCCCAAAGGTAAACCAATCCTGGCCAGGTACATTGCGCATAGCGGCAGCAAGGCCACTGCCAAGGTGACATCTTCTCGCAGCCTTCGGACGGAATTCCTTTCTCTTTCGTGGAGAACTACTCCCTCCTGACTGTGTGTTGCATGAGCCTGGAGTCTTACGTGTAAACGACTATGTGCGCACAATGCTCGCTTGTGCGGTCTTCGAGGGTCTTCCAGATGCATGCGGCCGAGTATGAGGCTGTACTGGTACAATAGCTGGCTATGGCTGTACATTGCGCATCCTGTTCCCACGTAACGACCAGTCAGGATGAGCACACAGGTCCATGTCATGGCGTGCTGCTGGGCACTTGTTGCGTGAAGCACATGAGAAAGACCCAACAGCGGGGGCCCTTGCATGCCGATGCTTGCTTGCCTGGCGATGGTGCGAACAAGGGGATCGCGCTGGTTCTGGCCTCACCGGCAAAGACTGCCAAAGCATTACTGCATGCGCTCGGACCTCCTAACTCGACAAGCTTGGTGAAATTGATCCCGAGTTTCTCTGTCGTCGTGGATTAAACCCCGAGATCCACTGCAATTAGAGACGGGCACGTCGGAGTAAGAATGCCTTCGACTCACTTCTGACGGTAGCTGCGGCTGAGCTTGACTTGGCTCCCAGCTTCTCGCGTACGCACGCACATTGCTGGTGGTGAGAACCTGCACTGAACCGGGCACTCAACATTGGTGGAACACAGCTATGTTTCGAGATCCTTGTAGACTTACGTGCGGAACTGATGTCCTGCCGCACTTTTGTCTGCTATGGAAAGGACTAGTGACTACTGGCATCCTTTACTACTGCATCCTGAAGGAGATGTTGGTTGGATGGTTGGCAAACCCCAAACCCTAAAAGCAGATGTTGGCTGGCAAAGGCCATGCCCGAAAATAAGATGTTGGCTGGCAAATCCCGAACCCTAGAAGGAGATCTTGGTTGGCAAGCCCCAAACCCCAAGAGGATATCATAACTGGCACTAGACAGTAAAATAAACAGAAATGCTGCTTGGCAAAACTAAACGGAGACGTTGGTTGGAAAACCCCAAACCCTTAAAGGCTAGTCGAGCAACAAACCCCAAACCCTAAGAAGCTATGTTGGTTGGGAGACCACAGATCCTAAAAGGAGATGTTGGTTGGCACCCCGTGGGCGGGACTCCCCTGCGCAGACTTCTTGACTTAGCATTCCAGCTTAACCCAACAAGCCCTTGCGATCGCCTCCTCTGGCAAGCAAAAGACATCTGCAAGCGGCATCCAGCGCGGGGCTGGGCCACTCAGGCAATCGCTCTGCTTCTCTTGAGTGAGGAGCCATCCATTTGCCTCGGAAGCGGTGGCATATTGCGGTACTAACCACATGGATAAAGTAGGCCGTGCAGTCCTCTAGGCCTGCTTCAAGGCTGGCAAAGTCGGCATAACATAGTGTCCCACTCTCAACCAGCAGAATCTTTGTGAGCGTGTGGAGCAGGCTCGTCTGGCTTCATCTCGATACGACACAACGGCAGAAAAAACAAGATGTAATCGGGGCACAGGCTCCTCGACATTGGCAATGACGCAACTAGTTTTATCCAACTCCGCTACAAAACATTCATCTTGGGTCGCATCTACCACTGCAGGAAAATCCCGTCTTGCCGGAACGAGTGCACGCACAGTCCAAAAACAATAGCTAAGCAGTGCTTGACAAGAACTGGCTCAAACTTACCCCTTCCTCATCCTAAGTCTTGAGTGCGAGTGATGATGCCTCGAATTCGGCCATCTCCGCTTCTGCGGCGTGGTGTAGCCTTGATCTGTCGTTGCTCGTGACCTCCAGAAAGCCCGCTTTAGAAAGCTCATGAACCAAGGCCTTTCAAAGAGCAGGGACGCTGGGGGGCCTCGAAGCGGCTCATGAAGTGCCTGAGGGTAGGCAGAGCGCTGGGGAAGCCAAACTCCTCCATGCGAACCTGTCGCAACGACGACACTGCAGTTGATGACGACACTTGCGTGAACTCCGCGAACCTAAATTT